CCTTACCATGGAAAAGAGAATGGAAAATGCAAACTGTATATGTACAGGGGCACATAATTCATTTTGGGAAAGAAACTCATTCTAATGCCTCCCCATGACACAAGTTCTGAAAACGATCCCAACTTCCTTTCATGCTGGGTCGAACGCTGTTCGATTTTTAAATGTCTTGAGAGTACTTTGCATGCTGAATAACTATTCAGCATGAGACCTTTGCCTAAACAGGGAGCAACTGCTCTCTGTTTAGGAAAAGGTCAGGCATCTTAATAGCATGCTGTTCTACATGTATAGACTATTCATTAGAGTGCTTTACATTGTTGTGTTGACCTTGTGGAGAGAATTTATCAAGCAAGACCTTGACAGAATGAGGAGGAGCCTATGTAATATAAATTTGGCTGCATCAAATGATTTGCAGCAGTTTCGACCCTTGCGGAATTTTCTATGCCAAACTTTAACATTTTTAAGATTCACCTGTGTCAAATTTAACTCTATACTTGCTACTTTTTTCTACTGAAAACAGACGTATTTATAACATTTGGTTTGGGACACATTTTATACAGGTACAGTATGCCTCTAAAAGACAGATTGTGTATCCATGATTCAAACTATCTGGCTGAGAAACCACACTGCTTCACTTCTGCACATCTATTGAGAAATGCTCTATATTTTACAGACCTACAGCAAAATCATGCAATGCATCTACTTTATTGGTAGCAATAGTGAAATTAAATATCTTCATCTACAAGTATCTTGTAGTGTTGCCTGCTGCAATGGAGGAAGGAGTGGTTGAGGAGCACTGGCAAGGTGGGTATAACTGGGTTGGGATGGGAGAGAAATCTCTCTGTGTCCTGTGTTACCCCAGATAAAACTATTTTTTGTACAGTACAAACTGTTAGAATCAGGTTTTCATTAGTTGCATTTATCTTGTCCCCAGATACACAACAGGGAATAAGTGGAAATCTGTCCAAAGTTAGGGTAAATCCTCCCTTATCTGTCACCGACATAGACCCCTCCCCTCCCCAATTAAAATATTTCCCTCTAATGATGTTCTAAAAATTTTTTGGGAAAAGCCGACAGAGGTTCTAGATGTCTGTCTTCCATTCTACCAAAAAAAGTGTCTTTATTGCAAATGTATTTGCTAATAGGCAATTCCTTTCAGTCTTTGTCCTAATGACAACACTGTCACCCAGACAGGAAGTGATGGGAAATTTCATTAAATCCGAAGTGTCCCCAGACCCTCTCCCGGGGGGG